GGTGGGTGTTTGGGGCGTTGGGGGGGGGGGGGGGGCAGAACTCGTACTCTTAGTGAGGTTATTTTTGGCTGTTATAATGATTTACTTGAAACATGTTGTAAAGTCATGGATCGTCATTTCCATTTTTCGGAAAATATCTAATTTGTCACGGACTAATCTCAATTTGATTAAAACACAGATCCTATTTCGTTTCGTTTTTTATAGTTCAAAATTTTGTTTTACTTGTCCTTACTACACTAGGATTTGGAAGAGTTGTTATCATTTACGTGTTCTGAATGGTATGAGGGATTAGCCAATGAAACGGTCTGTTAAGGCGAGATTTAGGCGTGTTGTGCACGGAAATGTAAGTAATCCACTAGTAACATCAATGCTGATTGGTTAATCAAATGTCTGACGTCATATGTCAAAAGCCGCTCTTATTACCTCTGACGCGACCTATCGCCACAACCGGTCAGATCTTCATGTAGTGTAGGCCATCGAAAGTATTAAAAAACGAAACGAAATATAGATTTGTATTTTAATCGGATTGGGACTAATCCATGCTAACATGTACTCATAGTGATTATTTAATAATTAAAGATACATTATGTTATAAATCTGAGAATACTTTGTGAAACCGGTGTGACAGTGTGAGATGGTTCCTGGTGTGTGATTACCGTTTAGCGCGTGCGCAGTTGTAGGAGTCAGCTCACACCGTTATGGACACGGTGTGCATTGACGTCCCGTGATAAGATTTCCCCTAAGATTTCAGGAACCATCTCACAACACCGGAAGTAGATATAGTTTAGTTGTTAACGCTAACAACAGTTTCGGACATGCGCAAGTCAATTCAAACTGTCACACCGGGGCCAGATATCACTACTCATCTTGTTCTGTTTCTTCTTCTTCTTGTTAGGGATTAAAAAAGGGCTATGGATCCTCCAACTAAGCCACGATCTACATGACACAATGTACATTGCATCGCGTATTCCCTTAAAGCCCGGCCTATACCGCTACGACTACACACAACCCGACATGGTAGTTGTAAAAAAAATCGGGTCGCGTCTTTACTTCACTTGCCTACGACGGTAAAAGTCCACACAGGCCCGACTCTCGCAGATTATGCGCCGTGAGTTACGCCACTTCCCTCATCCTCTCTCTCTTCTGTCCAAAAATCTGCCATCTTGAATTTTCCCGGGAAAACAAGGAGCACATGACCTGCACAGTCACATGACTAAATGCTACTCTCTGATTGGCTAACAGTAAGACAATTGATCGTGTCGTGTGAGTGTCCACACAAACACGATGGGTTACGACTGCATCCAACTGCATCCGACTACGACTGAACATACTCAGTCGGGCCGACGGGCCACGACGCGACGGAAATCGATTGAATCGTGGTCGTGGGACTGTCCACACTGCACTGAGTATCTGAGACAAGACGTTGCGTTGGGTAGAGTCTGGGCAAGTCGTGGCGGTGTGGGCCGGACTTAAGATCCTATATTATTATTATTATTATTATTACAGCATATTTATAGTGCACCCTTTCATATAACATGTTCAGGAGCACTTTACAAAGTGACAATGTAAATCATACATAAACAACAAGATTATGGACATGTTAACGATTGTATACAGAGTCAGTTAAAAGCATGGCATATCATCTTAAAGATGCATTATGTAAGACTTAGACAAAGAGCTGGTCGTCCTTGCTATACTATTCAAAAAAAGTAGGGGATATTTGATTTTTAAGTGTTATTAAAGTCACCTAATGAAACTGACGAAGAAACAAATGACAAAATGAAATGAAGTTCACATTCATCGATTTATTCCAAATGATCGTTAGACTAAGTAAGGCACAGACTGACCATTATAAGGGTAAAATGATACCCGGGGTCAAACAGCAAAGTTACCACAGCATCACAACCAAGTCAGTAACGGGTAAATCCTCCTCTGTTTGCCAAATAAGCATTGATCCGACGTGGCATACTCCTAATGAGACGTCTAAGGTCATTTTGGTCCGGATTGTCCCATTCCTGTTGCAACGCAGCAGCAAGTTCTTGGACATTGGCAGGACGTTGTTGACGTTGACGTAACCTCTGTCCAAGCATGTCCCAGACATGCTCGATGGGGGAGAGGTCGGGACTCAGTGCTGGCCAAGGTAATGTGGTGATGTTCTGTTGTTGGAGGTAACCTGTAACGATCCTGGCCCTGTGACATCTTGCGTTGTCATCCTGGAAGATGAAACGGCGGCCATGACGTCGTGCGAACGGCACAACATGGACTGCCAAGATGTTGTCCCGGTAGTACTGGCCTGTAACACGCCCTGCAACAACATGTAAAGCCGTTCTTCCAGCAACAGTGATGCCTCCCCACACCATAACAGAACCACCCCCAAATCGATCATGTCTGATGACGTTAACGTCTTGGAAGCGCTCGTTTCGACGACGCCACACCCTCCTACGTCTGTCCAAAAAATCAACAGTGAACCTTGACTCATCTGAAAACATCACATTGCTCCAGCGTCGATTATCCCAGTGTTGACGATCCCTACACCAACGACGTCTTGCCTGAATGTGATGATCTCTCAAACAAGGGATCACGCGAGGACGTCGGGCGCGAAGGTGACCCCTATGCAGTCGATTCCGAATCGTCTGGCCACTCACTCTCACACCAGTGTCTGTTTGAAGACGAGCGCTGATCTGATTTGCTGTGATGACACGATTTCTCAAGGCCAAGGTACGGATAAATCGATCCTGGGCTTGAGTTGTCGCCCTTGGTCGACCTGAGCGTGGTCTGTCCTGTACAGATTGTGTATCACGGTATCTGGACCATAGCCTGCTTATGACAGACTGAGAAACATTCATCGTCCGAGCCACAACCGCCTGTGTTGTGCCGATCTGTAGCATGCCAAGGGCACGTAACCTTTCATTTTGGATAAGCCGACGCATATCAAAATTTGTTTTCTGGTCACTAAAACAATTAAACTGATGTTTCCACCCTGGAATTCAATGCCACAGTGACTGTAACATTCAAAGTCAGAGTCGTGCAAATCTTGGGTTGGACCCCCATGATGATCCCAAGCATCACCTGCATTCCATGCGGTAGCTATTGGTGCGTTTGGGCGTCACATGTAACTGGAAATGTTGGGTTGGACCCCCATGATGATCCCAAGCATCACCTGCATTCCATGCGGTAGCTATTGGTGCGTTTGGGCGTCACATGTAACTGGAAATGTTTCTTCTGTTAGGTTCTATAGTGACTTTTTTCGTAGTCATTTGCATATTTTAGTATTATGCCCCCAAAATCAAATATCCCCTACTTTTTGAATAGTATATAATAGTTCAAAAATACATAATGAATACAAACTATTGAACATTTAATTCATATTACTTTATTCTGAGCGAAGTTATCAATGTTTGTGGTTTTGACAAGATGTGTGCATTGATTGTTTATTATCGTAACCACGGTGCTGATTATTCGAGTCTTAGCCTCGCTTCTCTATTTTTAAATTAAATGATTAAAAGGCTGAACCGGTATAATCTACTTAAAATCGGACACATATGATGACATCAAGAGTTGATTATGGTCTTGTTTTGTTAATAAATGTCTCATTAATAATTCATATAACATTTAAGGCCTCAAGAAAGGCCTGCAATAGGCAGATTTAGCTCTTGAATAATGCCTCTGTAATTTAAAAAAAACATAGATAAGCTCCCAGCTTGGACTTGATCGGATTAAAAAGTGACCCATCAAAAGATGTCAGCTACAACTAACTTGCGTTTTCACCATGTTCTGTTTATTCAGAATTGTCAATTCATATCCTTGTAGAGATTGAACGGGGTTGAAACATTTCTTAACTGATATTCCATCTAGAAATTCAACTATCACTGCATTGTATTTGCGAGGGGATTCCCCATATGACGATCGTAGACTTTAAGGGTAAATATAATTTCTGAATATCTTTTCTCTAATGTTTAATTTCGATTGTTAGTGTCTTTTCTAATCGATTATTTCACTACTAAATCTAAGCACATAACTTTTTAAATACGAGATGAACAAATAATCAAATTAATTTAAACCCAGTTTCAGTTTTTTATTCTGTCCAACCTCGTGGGATTTCTCCCGGTCATCCGATTTCCTCCCACTGCTAAATACCCCCACGCGCAAGCGAATTATTGAAACAAAATTGAACCATGTGTTAGTCCAGAAATGACCTAGTTTGTGTCGAGTGGTAGTTAAACCCCATCTCTCTCTCTCTCTCTCTCTCTCTCTCTCTCTTTCAGGTTTTATTCAAACAAAAGCAATGCTTATCTTTTGTTATGTAAAGTAGTTTTATGTACAGCCATGAACTGAATGGAAGTGTGCATCAGTCGAACTGCACCTCACTGATGCAACTGATATTTCATTACCAGATAAATGAAATTTGTACGAAGACAATCAAATCAAGATCGTCACTATCGTACATCTACATAGGAGATTTTTGGGATTGCGAGAAGTTTTAAAAACGCAATAGAGCGTTGGAGTTCATCGCTTGGGGTCGGTTTGGGTTGTGTGCAGCAATGGAGAGAGAGAGGGAGATCGAACCCATCCACCGATTATACATGAGTTTTGAAAGATTTTTTTACCGTTGTACAGCGATTTTCAAAAACTCTGGTGCGTTCGTGAAATGAAATGAAATGAAATGGGGTTTAACGTCCTACTGTTCTGCTCCTAACCTGGGCTAATGAAGACGGGCATACGCCATACAGTGTGCTATATGATAATCAATCCGGGATTGGTTTGAATGTTATATAAAATTAATATTTATTTTTTTGTTGAAAGTGATAATAGCTCTTTAATAATAATTATGATGGGGGACGATTTCAAGCAGATTTTACAAACTGTCCCATAAAGTTTGATTTCTTCTTTATCTTTCGTGATGTTTGATTAGTTCCAAGTAACGATTGTTCTCAAATTCACACCCCTTAAATCATTTTTCTTTACATTTATATATTTTTTTTAAAAAGCAAATAAATCTCTGAAATTTTAAAATTTTATTTCTGAGGAACATTCAAAGGTAAACATATTTACATCAATTATTTACAAACAATGTTCAAGAACATTTCTATTTACAAAATAATTATGTACATAATTAAAGCCTCCGTGCGTCATTCGGATTCTTCGTAAAATTTACTCACATTGATTATGTAACAATTAACCAGAAAAACAAAATCAAGATATCAATCGTTGATAATTTCCCGGTATTGATTTATTCCGAGTTAGAAAAAGACCCATTGAACGATTCAGCTAAACTTAAAGGATGACGCCCGTTAGACATTAGATGCTGAATTTTCAATTCTGAACGGAATTGGATTATTGTTGAATCGATATTCAGTTTAGAGATGCAACTTTCACAATATTGTAGTTTGGAAAAGAATGACCTTAGGAGGCTTTAATTTCTTGTACACCAGGGATACGGGAACGAAGACAAATGGCATTATTCAATCAGCAATAAACAGAGCGTACGAAGAGGGGAAGCTACTCGACATAATATAAGGTGAATATATAATTATTTAAAACAATGACAAGAAGTATGCATTTTACACCTGTCACTGTGTTACAACAGGACTGAGACTACTTGAAACGAAATAAAAGATTTATAATTACAATGTATTTTATGCAGCTCACGAATTTTACAAATACAACTAAGTATTTGATTTATATTATGATTGGGTTTCAGTAATATGCTAAATAATATTATGATTTATTCAATGGTCAATAATATTATGATGACATTAAGTATATATCTACGCTACGTCTTCCATTCTAATCTAAGCTGATGCTACTGCTACTAAGTGTGTGTGTGTGTGGGTGTGTGTGTGGGTGTGGGTGGGTGGGGGGAGGGCTTGGGCAGATAATTTTATTATAATTTCAGTAGCAATATGTTCACTGAAAACTTTTATCAAATTGAATTTTTTTAGGAAAATATGTATATAAGACTTAAACGTACAGAGCAAAGTCAAAATGAAAATATATTTCCAACCTTCACAAATGAATTTCAGATAAGTTATAAATTCAAAACATATTTCCAATCTTAACTAATGGATTTCAGATAAGTTATAAATTCAAAAAATATTTCCAACCTTTACTAATGAATTTCAGATAAGTTATAAATTCAAAACATATTTCCAATCTTAACTAATGGATTTCAGATAAGTTATAAATTCAAAAAATATTTCCAACCTTTACTAATGAATTTCAGATAAGTTATAAATTCAAAACATATTTCCAATCTTCACTAATGGATTTCAGATAAGTTATAAATTCAAAAAATATTTCCAACCTTCACTAATGGATTTCAGATAAGTTATAAATTCAAAAAATATTTCCAACCTTCACTTACAGATAAATTACAAAGCAAAGCAAAGACAAATTTAAAATACATTTCCAGTCGTCACAAATGGATTTCAGATAAGTTATAAATTCAAATTACATTTCCAGCCTTCACAAATGGATTTCAGATAGGTTATAAGGTTTAAGTTAGGCATACAAAGCACAGAAATTTGTTAAATATATTTTCAGCCTTCACAAATGGATTTCGGATCCGTTAATTGAGCACTAAAAACGAACATCAATGTATAACAATAACAGTTAAAGAAAATATGTTCAAACGTTGTTTTTTTTCTACAATACTTAAAACGATATTTACATATTTCACATTATTTAAAAATAATAAATATACATAATGATAAATTTTATATTATATCTACATAATGAATACAGATCAATAAATAAATTAACCAAGAATTATTTCCAATCTCCTTAAATTAGAATTAATTTCTTCCTTATGACCAAGTATTTAAGTACGCCGATTGGTGGAAAATGAGGTGGTGTTTTTTGCAACCTCTTACATATTAATTGTTAAAAACAAACCAAAAATAACTATTATAATTACAACTCTTAAAACTGTTAAATAAACTGCGTAATTTTTATTTCAAACAATTAAGAGGTGAAATTGTTAAAAAATCAGTTCTATATCCCTGGAAATTTCCTAAAACAAACAGATCACGATTAGAAGGAACCGTCTCTTTTTTTTATTTTTACAAAAATATGATGACTTAATACAGTTTCAGTGTCATAATCATGTAAAATTACGATTTTTAATAATAAAATTCATATAATCCGGTCAGAATATTTGAGACGAAATTAATCACTAAGACATGGGGTACCTTTATCCGAAGACTGCTGAGAATATGGTTTAGTTGTACAGCATGGACACATGGCGTAATGAAACGCCTTGTTGCCATTAGAAAGTCCGCTGTAACCATAAGCTGAACCCATAGTAAGACCTGGCAGAACTGGAGGATAAGGCATAGTCAGCGCCAAACCCCTCGCTCCAGCACCATAAGTGTATCTAATTGAGTTGAGATGAGCTGTCGGTGGCGCCCCTATCGGCGAAAACGCTGATTTAAAGGCGTTTGAGTTGAGTGGTGACGTAAAGTAAGATTGTGGGAAGACACTCTGGGCTTGAGAAACCTGACTAGGGGTAGACGTGGTCGTATGATCATTTTTGTTGTTCAAGATTTGTTCTATAGCCTGAACGGTGTCTCCGCCGCAGCCCTGTAATATCAACTGTAAAACACTTCTATTCATATGAGGAAAAACACGCGATAGCACTTCGACAGGCTGACGCTTTGGTCCCAAACCATGATAATGTTCTTCGTAGGTAGATTTTGCTAAAAAGTCTCTTTTGGCCTCGTCACTGATTGGAATTCTTGACGGTTCCGGTGACATTTTAGGCGAAACACTTCCGCTTGGAGACGGTGTTCTGTCTTCCGTTCGGGGCCGTTCGTGTGTTTCAGGAGACACAGGTCGGGAATCAACATTTGGTGATGAGCATCCACTTCCGGATTCTTCAGGGTCATGTTCTACACGAGCTTTTTTGGAAACTGAAAGTAGACAATTTAAATACATTACAGTAATTTTTAATAACCATAAAACCGCCAGCCAATAAGTTATTTATTCTAATGCAGATTTCATATTCCCACAAATCTTCACAAATATAAAAAAAATGTATACATTAAAGGAAAGGAGTTATATTTTATGTATCCCGTAGTGGTAAGTTGGCCAATAAATAGTTATATTCCCCACAGATGAATGTATTTAAAACACCAATAACACGAAATTTACCTGTATTTATATATTATAACAAATACAATGTACATAAAACATATGTCTTAAAAGATTTGGTTAGATACAATTTCTCACACTAAACAGATCAACAAACGTCCATGAACTCCCGGATGCCAACTGCGAGGATTTACAACCCGGTGTGATCAAGGTAAATCAAGCATAATGCCACAGAAAAATAAAATGCCATCAATATTTTCACAGTTATTTGTTATTAGAAATGATACTTTATTATTGATCAACATATCCATTAACTAGGTATTCGATATCCTACGCTGATTCGGCTGATCCACGTCAGGTAACCAAAACTCGCCATGTAGATAAAATTTTCAAGGTTTCGAACACGAAATCGAAAACGTGTTGGTTAATATCATGTCAATAAAACGTGTAGAATGCCAGTAAACAAAATGTTACGACCTTCTCATAATGAAGTTTGACACCTTTGAGGTTACATTAAAGATCGACCTAAACAAAGTGGATATATCCCGAATATAACTAAAAGGAATAAATTTAAACCCAATTTGACCCGTCATCAATCGTGACTGGGATCAGTAACTGAAGTTATGATACAAATCACAGTGTCGTCTTCTCTGACAACCTATGGTACTTGACCATTCATAGTAGAATCCAAGGTCATTTTTAACACTCAACCTTTGTACTCTTTAAGATTGAGTTGAAGAAGACAAACTCGGACAAGTAGATTTCTTATATTTTAATAAATATTCAACCAAACTCTTATTGAAGGACACCCTACTGATAGTGGAAAGGGTAAAGCACTCTTAAACACCGGTATGTACTTAAAATGACATGCGGTGTTAATCGAGTCTAAAAAAATAGAATAAAGAGTAATATCACTTCTTGATAAACTTCGGCTCTTCATTTTAAAGAGGAAGAAACAAATCCTTTTTCACCAAACAAGAGGAAATAAAAAGAGGCGCTTTGTTACTAGAGTAATGGCTGCTTGAATTGAATGTTGAAATTGTATTGTCTGTGATCGTCATGAATGCATGTGCATGAAAGGTCACACAAAAAACCTTAATGATATTCTTTTCGTGTTTATCATATAAAAGCTAGAATCTCTATTGTGTTTTGAGACTGACATTTATCTCGGTTACAAACAGATTGGTCACCCTGCACGGCTATTTATTCTTTAACACAAAAACAGTACTTGTTCAATTTCTCGTCCAACCCTCAGAGCGACGACCCACTGTGAACCCCATACATATTTAAGTACCGTGGCAACTCCATCCATTGTTGCTGTTCCCCGATCAAATCAAAACTGAAATTTATTATATATGTTTTGCCAGCCTCCTCAATTAGAATGTTAAAGAAATACGTATCAGATATTTACAATTGTTCAAATATAGAAAACCATACAATTACAAACGAAATTGAATACAAATAAATATTTCATGGTCAAAGCGCTGTATTTAAATTGTATCCGGGTTATATTCAATATAAAACTGTCATATATTAATTACTATAATTGCGAGTTCTTTGTAAATTGAATATCATATTAACAATGTAAATTATTAAATATAGAATTAAATTCATATTTTTGATTTAGAATATGAAATGTATATAGCAAACAAAGCAAACAAAGAAATCAGAACACAGACCTGTATGTAAATTTAAAAACATATCTGTGTTAGGAATTTTTTTTTTTTTAAAAAATCGCTTCATGTATTTTCATTTTACATCAGTGCACTATCTATTTACAGAAAGCCGAAGCGAGATGATTAATTATTCAGATATATATATTTTCTCACGAATTTAAACGATATAGGAAGGCGTTAAGTTATGAGGTATTAGGGGGTGGGAGTGTTATACATGCCAAAATAAGCCAGATCAAAGGGGCTATTTACAGGTAAAAAGGAACTACGGATTACCGCTGATAACATAAGTTTCATTATACATGCCCACTACTTAAAGAGTTTCTCAAGGGAAACTTTATTACTTTTATACGTTTAAGAGAAAAATAGAATAAAATAAACATTAACTATAAATATATTGTTATAAGTATTGAGCTTTTCGTTAACTAGTAAAGTGATTGTATATAATACAGAGACTTCTCTATGCCTAATTCAATTTGATTTCAAGCAGAAACTCTTACATGTCAAAAACGTCCTTGGAAGAAACGCTTTTGGGATAACAAAAGATTTTCTACTTTGTTAACAGACATGGTTTTCAACAAGGATTAACTTTAAGACCCTTTATACTTTGGGTAATACAAATAAGTTTTACATGGTTTCATAGATCCTAAAACGACATCAACGCATGGATATATTACACATTTATATCAAATCCCCACTTTTTAACGTCAACATGTAAAATATACAGACAAGCATTGTGTTAATTCTACAATTGCTATTTTATTAAACAAAAAACATTTCATTCATAAAATATGTTTTCGGTGTGTGAAGTTTTCGTATTCATATGCATTTTATGTATGTACGTGTTTTTATTTGTATGCACTTTTTGTCGTTATAATATCATATTTTAAAGGTGTTTTCCTCAAAATAATCAAAATTTATTGTTACACCAAAGGGTATTTTGTTTTATAATTTCAGAGGTTTCAACGTTTTTAAGGATTAAAAAAAAATATATATATATATTAAACGGCAGTTACAAACGTAAGCATGCTCAGCTAAAAGTGTAGAACTAAGTCCCCCCCCCCCCCCATACAAAAATAAAAAAAAAAAATCTTTTTTTTTAAAATGCGCAGTTTTGTTATATCAACTTATAGTCTAGACTGGCTATCCTACCTTGAAATTATTATCTTTATCAAATAATTAGTCTAATTGTATTCATAAATCGTGACAAAATCCGGATCAATTGATATAAAAATAACAGGATATCAATGACTAGTACATGTTTTGGTATATTAATAATGGTAACTATTAACAATCACTAGTACATGTAAAGATTACTAATGGTAACTATTAACAATTTTATTTCCTGGTGATACAGCATTATATTTAATTGCTAGCGGAAAAAAACGCTCTTTTATGAATAATTTACGTTTATATATTGTTATATACGTATCTTTTATACACATATTCATCACAGCCCTTAATGAAACACACCCTAAAATAAACGTTAACCATCCTATTAACATGTCTGATAATGAAGGCGATCTGTGATTTAATAGAAATATTTCATACTTCAAGAACACAATGTGGTTTCTTTACACGATACATTCTATTAATATTAAACAGCCTGCCGGGTCTTGACGTTTTAATATTATAACTCATAATGCCAAAGAGGAGGGGGTGGGGGTGTAGGGGGCGGGGGTTGTTTTTTTTTTAAAGAAACGAGTTAAATCATAACATTAAGTATTCTGTAAGATCATAAGTAGAATGTGTTATTATAAAGACGGCTTCAAATGAGCTATATACAATATGGCGGGGACTTCAGAGGCAAAACAGTCTAAACACAATAATGTAACCACAAAGTCAAGAATGGTGGTTTGAATAAATGATTCAAAGGCAAAATATGTGAAATACAATTACTTTGTGACACTATCAGCCATATTATTCTCTTTCAAAACTATTAAAGACCATTTACCATCCAACTGACTACTGTTCCAGATAAAAAAAACCAAAACAAACCTGCTACCCTACAACGTTTGATGCCACAACTGGCTAGGTGTTATACCGGTATTACTTCACATTGGTGGTAAACAAAGAGCATTTGAAAAAATAATTAAGCAGTGCTTGTTTTACACCTGGTTTTAATGATAAATTATTTATACAATCAGATACAATATTATTTACTGAATATAATCTAGCCTCGAATCTTAATTAGGCCTACAATTGTATCGAAAAATGCTAGTATTAATAGTGATAAAAATAATTATAGCCACTGATTGTTGTTGTTAAATAGAATAAAACCGGTTTACACATGTTTCATCTAATAGAAATAGAGAGAGAGAGAGTGAGAGAGAGAGAGAGGGATGGGTTTAACGTCCACTCCATGCAAACTAAGTCATTTCGGGATTAACACATGGTATTATTTTATTTCAATAATTCGCTTGCGCGCAGGGGTCTTTAGCAGTGGCAGGAAACCGGAGGAGCCGGAGAAAACCCACGAGGTTGGACAGGCGACCCTACTCCTTGCCACATACAACCGGGGAATCGAAAGCACGCCAGTTGACTCAATGACAGACCTTATGATACAGCGCACACGCGCTAACCATTCTGCCATCCAACCCTCGTTTCATATAATAATATTAGAGGTGAATTTAAATAGTGGAAGATTGCTCGGAAAATAAAAACCAATTTCATAACCACATGTGTCACCGAGTTACACGGTACAAAGGTTTATCCATCCTTGTTGGTAAGATTATTATATTTATAAGATATATCCGATTAAGAAAAACAAAATGCATAGAAAACTTGCCATGTTGATCGTATTAAAAATGACAAGCGTAAAAGATAAGAGAAGCAACAATGGCTATCACGTTATTTACGATGTATCAGATATAACGGGTTGTTATAATGTGTTAATATGTATCAATTCCGTGTATCCACTCCACTGTACATAATATAATACACGCTATTAATATGCTGTTATTGTTTACAGCTTGTTGGCACTTTTAAGTGGAGTCGAACTACCAGCTTAGAGATACAACCCGTCGTGTCAGTTATTCAAATTTTCTAATTTTTCAATTATTCATTCAAATTTTAGGGATAGTTGAACTTGTATAAGTGTTATAAAGTTACCGATGGTGAATAGGGGAATGGAAGCCGTATGTTTGTCGTGGATCAAGTATACATAACATCCTTTTGTCCACAGCACGAGACGTCGTTAAAAGACGTCACTCAAATTTTCGCGCTTAATCCGTGTCGTCTGGTAAATGAAGTGAGATATGGTGGTATAACTGTTTATATTGTCTTATAAACTACGGCTAATATTACAAGTTACACACAAAATGGACAATACGATAGTACAGGGGGATTATAGGGTGATTTGGGCGGCCAGAGTCTTCTTAAGAGTCAATCCTTAAGAGGGCTATCTACATCGCTAACAGTTTCTACCATCGTTCCAGGATTTCCAAAGGTGTATTTAAAAATACAAATTTGTACGCAAGTCATTAGGAAGGTTATCCACATGCACTTTAAACAAATACCTAAAATAAGGAGAGAAGGGGTCTTCGGGTTAGCTTAGGGCGCATCGTGGTCTATACGTATACAGGGTCTGGTCACGATCAATTGATATTTATTTAAACGATGAGTGATAACAGATCGTCTTGCAAAGATAACCTTACTCCACCGCAAGAGTTTAGCCTATACAAGTGTTCGACGATGGGAGGATGACCACCGGCTTAGTCCGAGTCCTAAGGTTCATCATTAGTACCAAATGAAAAATATCAGTAAAACATTTAAGAAAGATCTGTTTGCGATGCATGTATGACAGATAGTGTTAGACGATGGGGGGATGACCAGCGGCTTAGTCGAGTCCTAAGGTTCCTCATTAGTACCAAATGCAAAATATTAGTAAAGCATCTAGGAAAGCTCTGTTTGCGATATGAACTTGGATGCATGTTTGACAGATAGATATCGATCTTGCACATCATGTATACAATATTTTTCAATTGATCAATCATGGTTCAGTTATACAGTGCGTAAAGACACCTCTTGACGATCGTGACTTTATTTCTACACGTTTTACAAACAGTGTCAGTTTAATAATCGACATGGTGAAAAATCAATTACCTATTTTCTGATTGTATAGATATATTGTATTCAAGTGTAAATAATATATGACACCAAATGCAAAAATGTAGGATTGTTACTATTTCCATTTAATCAGTTGGAATATCGGTTATAACTTGTTTCGGTAGTCTTCAGTACAAAATGGCGGACACGGGCAACAAGACAATCAAACCAAACTAAGGCAACTTAATTGGCATTTGTTAATTAATCTCAAAAAAGATTTTATATGAGTACACCATACATACTAATTCCAAAAGTCCATCACGTACACAATAATTAAACCAGATCGTCAAATATACAATTTCTACAGTTGACCTTTGGCCCAGATGCAAAACCAGGCCCCAAGTTCACAAAGCATTCTCACTAAAGTTAAGAATTTACTCAAAATTGTTCAACTTATTTTAACAATAATATAACCTTTTATAAAAAATTTGTTGTTTTAGTTATCAAATACTTCAATAAGAAACTATGTGCAAAGTTTTTTTGTTTCTGGATCAAAGATATTTCTTATAAACAGTGATTGAAAGTTCAGTAAATTGTTAACTTAGAATGCTTTGTGAACTTAGGGCCAGTTGCCTTCGGTTTCTGAAATCCATATTTAGACCATCGCTTCATTAGTTATGGGGAGTGACAAATATCGTGAACGAGGAAATACGTGCTTACTATTTCTAAAACTCCTCATGCAACTTCGCTTTTGAGGTAGTTAACATAGTTGAAAAAAAAATGTAATTTTGCATGAAAAAAAAAATCAGATTATTACTAATTGACTGGGCGCAGTTATATTTTTCGTGGCGTTTATTTAAATAACTACCAAACTGCTTTGATTGTATCAAATTAAAATACTTAATAAAACGTCTGATAAAGCACCAGGATATTAAGTTAATTGATTCTACAAATAATCTATGTATACAAGCTGTTAAGAAATGATTTTTGTCTGCAACTAGTTATGTTCTTTTCAACAGTAAAACCTAGGGTATTCCTATATTAAACTCTGATATGAATACTATTTATTTGTGGTTGCTACTATGTCCTCTAGTATTAGACTTCTACCTATATACCACAAAGTTGTAGTAATAAAGACCTGTTAATAGATATTATTAGTAGATAATAATACACGTAGTAGAGTCAACGTGTGTATTCGGTATCTATTTACTCTTTCATTATTACAGAACATAATTTAACACATAATTTTTTTTTATGCTTGATAACAACCAGTGATATCTTGTCGAAACGTCATGTGAATATAATATAGTGATTGTTTTCAATAGAACTGTGTTGTGTTATATTATTTTCAATCGCTATTAATGTCATTTAAAGATTATAGAACATAATTTAAACAACAATTTTAGCTATATAATGTATGTGACAAATGTGCAGAAAGTTGGTATCTTAAAACCCAGTTTATTTTATTTTAAATGATCATTTCACTTAAATGAATTATACGATACATAATAAGTAATACTTTGACTTATTCAAATCAGGCCAGTGTTACTTCTAAAACTGACAATGAACCTTTTCCGGACAAATTCTTTAATAGACATTTAATAATTAAACATATTAACACAAAGTACAATATTAGAAATAAACAATTATTTAATGTATTACTAAGCAACGTGTATCAAACAATTCTAGGAAGACAACAAAAAACCATGATTAAATCTTATAGTATTATCAATAACTCAAATATTCTAAACGTTACATATAAAAAAACACAACATACTTTATATGGAAAACAAGCATATTTATACAGCACGACGTTTCGACAAATATTCTCTTATCGTTTTCAAGAACGTGAACAATTAATGTTTTCCATATAAATTGTGTTGTGTTTTTTTAATGTGTTCGTCTTCATTAGCCCAGTTCGGAGCAGAACAGTAGGACGCTAAACCCCATTTCATTTCATTTCTTTTTAATGTGTTCAATCGCTAAATGCTACTCAAGGATTACGTTATGCATAATTGTATATTACGCCTACGTATATTTCATTAACAGTATTGCGTTAGACTGCATACCAGTTTAATATATGCTACCCAGGCAAATCGTACATTCCTCAGTAAGCGACAAAATATTATTTTCTTAATATGGTTTGAACATTTTCAGAATTAACAGATCACCCCGTTTCATAAATATTCCGACTTCATTAGATCAGTCCCTGAGAAATTTTTGACGTAAAACCCAATTTCATAATAAAAAAAAAATACTAGTAATGTACAATTTAACTTAGTGCTACAAAATGTATTTTAGTGGTAAGCAACATTCGGTCGGTGGGTAATGATGGGGGAGGAGGGGGCGTCAAAATGTGGAGAAGTACATTACGGAAAATTAATAAAAATTACTTACTATGATGCATGTGACCTTCATCTTGGGAGCTTGGAACAGTTGCAGAAGGTGTGGAACCCTGATTAGTGTGACCTGTAGGTTTGTTCATCATGTATTTCTTAGCGTCTGGATAGATGTCGACTGTTTCGGGATTGAATTGAAGTAGTCCATTATTGCCATAAAGTAGCCCCAATTCCCTGGCTTCGTTTTCTTCTTGAGCTTGCTGCCTCCTCAAGGCTACTTGTGCCGCCATTACTCTTTGTCGTTCAGCGATCAATGTACATTTTGCACAGACACAATCTCGCCATCTACAATATCGTTTATGTCCTTTTAGAGCGGATACAACGCCATGATTTCGACATCGAGCACATTTTGGAGTCCTTGGATAACGATCCGAAGCTCTAATAAAGATAGGTTCTGAATGACCAGGGCTTGACATTTCTCCTTCTGCCCTACCTCTGTCTTCGTCCGAGGAACTCATGGTCAGAAAGTCTGTACTACAAGTAAACTCAATTGATCAATCTAACTTAAATTCCACAGAACAGCTTCTCCGGATCGGAACAGAAACTGATTTTAAGTGAAATGTAAATGTTGATAAATAGTTAGTTGATGATATAAAACTGTGGCGAAGATCTGTTAAACGGCTGTTTAAACACTAATAAAATAATTAGCCCTTCACAGATTAGGTGTGCAATACCATCTACCGCTGTGTCGATACTGAATTTAAGATGTCGGCATATCTGTTAAATATCACTGATCTAGTGTTAAACGTTGTTTTTAACGAGATCCGCATCCGTGGGTGTCCTTACTAATACTCAGCAAAAGGATGATGAGTGTCCAATGTGTATCACCTTATTGCGACGGTGATAATAGTCAGTTTTGAAGCTCTCACTCGTAAATCAAACTTTTATTACCCATTCGCTTCTCAACACATCTTTAACCTGACACAGAAATCCAGCTCCGCCTTCTTTTACAATCTTACCTGTCGCCAACAGCCTAATCCATGAGAGTCTTCGTGCCATTGTTCAAAACCAGTCAATGGTATTGGTTGTATGAATAGGTAGGGGCGGACCTAAGTCAATAGTAGGTGGAGCACTGAGTTGTCACTCGTAAATTAACTGTGACATTAAACCCAAACGGTAGTGTAAACAATAACAACTCATCGATAAATTTTCTCACAATAAAAGGTTAAAAATATAAAACTACATTTAGTTAAACCGTGATTTCGGTCACTGACTGAAAATAAATAAATCACACATTTCTTTCAATATTAATTAAAGTTTAATACAAGCTCATGTATATGGTTCCAGTTTAACAGATAATATAGGACCGATCTTATTTGATTTTTAAAATATTACGATTGTAAATTTTGTAATTCTGAACAATGCAAGGGATATTTGCATAGCTTAATATATCCCTAAATATAATATAAATACACATAAAGTCATGTTACCGTTAAACATTTATATGTTTAAGCATGCTCTAATAAAAATATCAATTTTAGTAATCTTTTAAATATGTTTAGGTTAAACATTAATATTATGTTTAAGCTGCTGTAATAAGAAAAATATCAATTTTAGTAATCTTTTAAATGTGTTTATGTTTTTCAGTCGTAAAATCCATTTGAAGTAATATATTGTGTAATTTGATCGTCTGGTATATATTTTATTCAGTGAAAACTAACTCTTTAAATCCTGGTAAATTTGTTACCTAGAAAAGAGGATTACAGAGTACATTAATCAACACATATATATTATATAATATTAAATATTCTTCTTTACATATTGTTCTCTTCATGACACCATACCTATCATACTTCTCTGTTCTCATCTCATGTCACTTTCTCAATCATACAATGCAGCACATTGTTCTTATTTCATATACATATCTATATTTATTGTTGTCATGTTGTAACCTTTGAAGAATAAATAAATACATAGTTTTTAGCAGAAATATTACACAAAATATACGCATCTTTGTGTGGCTGTAAGGCTTGGGAAAAGTAAAACTTACTTAAACACGTAAATGTCTCCCTACACGTTCTAGATTCGACAAGGTTGTCAATGGGTGTCCGCGGTGTTTATACCAATTTGAACTGTTGTATTTAAGATATTATTGTTGTTGGTTTTTTTTCAAATTAAACGTCCAGTACAGGTTGATTTAATTAACGTATAATATTTACTTATGAATGAAGGAGTATTAACAAAAATGGGTAAAAACATTAAAAAGGGTTCTTGTATATCAAAATGTCACTTTAAAACACGGCGTTAAAAATTTTGATTTAACAAAATTTCAAAGAATATAGATACAAACCGAGAGCGTCATTTAGTGACTAAGCAAAATAATAACACTTGTCGAAACGTCGTGTTTTATGTTTACAAACCAGTGATGGTTCTTTATATAAATTAAGAGGGTGGTGGTGGATGGTCGAATGGTTAGCGCGTGCGCGTTCAATCATAAGGTCTGTCATTGAGTCAACTGGCGTGGTTTCGCTTCGCAGGTTGTACGTGACAAGGAGTAGTGTCGCTTGTCCAACCTCGTGGGTTTTCTCCGGGTCTTCCGGTTTCCACGTACTTCTAAAGACCCCTACGCGCAAGCGAATTATTAAAATAAAATTGAACCACATGTTAGTCCCCAAATGACCTAGTTTGTGTCGAGGGGACGTTACCCCCCCTCCCTATCTCTCTCTCTCTCTCTCCTTCTCTCTCTCTCCATATAAATTATTTTGTGTGTATTTTCTTTAATATAAATACATTTAACAACGGTAAACATGTTGTGGTAACCAAAACCTTTAATAGCATTCTTCGTCAAATATCAATAATTGTAAATGGCAGCTGAATGGAAAATTTTAAAAACGTCATATAGTCCGACATTAAATGAAACTAAAACATAAGAAATTTGAAAAAATATATATACGCCATTAATTAAAAAATGTTTTAAATTATAAATTAAAAACCAAAATAAGAAAAAAATCTAAATGGACTGTACTAAGAAGACCTGTATAAATTTTCTTTATTTAAAATGAACGAAAATAAGTTCTGAAAAATGTTCTTAGATATTGTATTATTACAGGCCCGGGACTCTATACAGCGCATTGGACACTTACTTCCGGTCCCTTGGTTCAATCACTTGATTTGATATTTGTTGCAATGTCTGTGTAGTTTGTCTTGTTCGCAGGTTTGGGGGGTTTTTTTTGGATTGGAGTGCGGTTCTCTTACACTTATTAAGTTTCATAACATCGTGCCGTCGATGTTCATGGATAGCCATGGGTTATCGTTTAGACACTGACAGGCGATTACAATATAAACAAAGACGGCGGCACGAAATCAATAGCCAGTAAAGTGAAGTTTATAGATAGACATAATTTCATTTTAGACTGATCGATTTTAATGGATTTTAAGCTGTACAGATTGCGTCAATATAAACAATTTATCGCAGGAATTGATATCAATGGGTAAATAATTTTCTTTATTCGTCAATCCAGATAATACACATAAAATAAAAACACCCCACAATAGAAATGGTGAATTCTGTAATTTTTTTCTCTCTAATACTGTTGTTTATTCAATCGCCGCAGATGTTGTGCACATAAATATTATAAAACCCATCGACTAGAGTCAAAAATATTTAAAAAACACAAAAAATGAATAGCCAAAGATATAAACTCTATTACCAATTAAATAAACGATTTCTTTGTAATGTTTAAGAGAAAACCCGGTCTGTGTAGTCGATTGAATGAGAGGAAAAAAAGCGGCGGATTATTACAAACCGCGTGTGTCGAATGTTGACGGCAATATCGTCTTGAATTAAAGACTCTAATTGGAAAACGGCAAAATTGTTAGAGAAATCATTTCACCTAGGAGACGCTAACAACGTGTAAGATACTACCCTGTTTAGCTGACAGGTCTAACCCCCATTTTATCCTATCGGGGAGAATTCATTGTTAAAATCAGCCATGATATTGATAAGATGTGGATTAGTTTTATAACTTGTACAACTTATAACAAAGAAAGACCATTTACCTGGGATTTGCTCGAATCGATTTTTTTTTCTGATTTTCGATTAATTTCATTTTTGTTAAATGTCAACAACAATGGCATTACACGGGAGCTATGTTCTGATTCTAAACGTTTCCGGTGCCTGTATTCATGCATACATGTATAAATCTCTTTAAATTCTGCACCAAAAAGATTTAAATTGCTTTTTCAATGAATATGAACTGAAGAGAAAACATTTATTTTTAATGGTCGTTGTTTGTTTATGTATTTATTAATATCTACCGTAAAATTTACAATAACTTTGTTTTTCACAACTATCTAAGCTACATATATAATAAATATATATTTTTAACTTGTCCTTAAAAGTCAAATTTTAATTTGTTCTAATATCTACCGATTGAATCAAAATATAATCACTTTGTTTTTCCACAACTATCTAAGTTATATTTTTGTGTAACTTGACTTTAAAAATTGAACTTTGATTGGTTGAAGCCTTGTATAACTAAGGAAGCAGGTAAAAGTGTAAGTGTAGTATATCACAGTTAATAATATTATCAAGTTGATTAATCTATGTATATTGATTTAGCCATATTTATTCTTGTAATCTATTTAAAAACAAAATGGCGTGTCATGATATTTTTAAAAAAAACAATATCCCTGTTTCATTTTATTTGATAATAATTATTAAAAATTTAAACATTGGTGTCATATCAAATTTCATCGATGTTTTGATTAGAAAAAGGTTTTACAATTAAAAAAAGATATTAAAAGAAAACAGAAATTAAGGAATCTGTGGGAATTTTGAAACCTGTTTCAGTTGTTCAGTTTATTTTGTTATTTGCGCTTCGTTTCGTTTTATAACAATGCCTGGTCGTTGGGCTGATTTTTATATTCAACTCGTGGAGAGAGGAAAAGGAAACAACATTTCTCTATATTTCACTTTTTATTTATTTTATTTTTTTAGCTCGAGGGGTGATATCCTTCTTTATGTTCTATGCACTTTATTATTTGATCGGCATATACATACACAAACTGCCGCTTTTAAAAAGCTTATTTATGAAAATAGCTTAAGGCGATATGATAATGTCTACACTATCACAGCACGATGTGAAAAAAAATATGTATTTCCCTTATTCGGTTGGCTAAAATTGCTGAACGAGTGTCTGTTTATTTACAAAACTTGTCACCTTTTAAGAAGGCAGTTACATTTGATCACGGTAAAGATGAGAGCAATTTTATTTCTTTTCGTTTCATCGAATCCTTTATTTGGAGAAATATTGATAATGTGACTACATTAACCAACCATGTTTTTTACCAACCACCACCAGTCTCAAACAGACATTTTTATATACAAAATCACTTTATTTATCTCTTTATCAATATAGAATTCAATTTAAAGATTAATCAAGAATATAAATTATTTGACTCTCCATTGATGCCGTATACTTAACATGCTTTTAAAAACTCATCAAAACGTATAAATCTCAGGAGAAATTTTGCGTGTCTTATCAATTTGAATAGCTTAATTGGTCTCTTAAAGAAAATTGAGATTAATAAATATATTTATCGTGCTTTCAATTTTTCAAAAATTACACAGATATATTATAACATCAATTTTGTATTGTGCAGATGTTCATTGGATGTTTTCCAAATAAAATTACATAAATCAAATTTTTTTTTTAAACTCAAATTGTTTGTTAAATGTTACTATAATCTTGATTTTGTTTTATTTTTATTTGGGGTGGGGGCGAGGAGAAAGGTTAGCACGTGTGCGCTGTATCATAAGGTCTGCAGTATTGAGTCAACTGACGTGGTTTCGATTCCCCGGTTGTGCGTGACAAAGGAGTAGGGTCGCGTGTCCAACCTCGTGGGTTTTCTCAGGGTCCTCCGGTTTC